GTATGTTCTATGTATAGTCATCCCTCATCCCCATTATTTACCCTAATTTCTTTTTCTTTAATCAGTTCTTCATTTCTTAGGTTGGATATCCCAACATGATGGCCGCTGATGTACGACTTGCAGTTAATGGCGGAGGAGTCTCATTGTACGTTCTCGCGAAGTCGGACGATACGCAAAGATGTTCTCATAGCAGCCGATGCCATATATAAAGTGAGTTTATACAGTCATCCAGGCGGATTTAGACCACTTTATTGAAGGGAAACTTTTTTAGAACGAGGTTGCCTTCCGAATTACTTGTAAGTCACCTAACATTCAATGTAGGTATATTGGAAAGGTGGAGGGAATAGGTGACATGGAGAAAAGGATGTTCTAGGTGGAGGAAAAGAGCTTTTTGTGCTGATTATTGAGAATTTCGTCTGAAATGACAGATTATCTTAAGAATATCTAGTCGAAAGAAAGTAACTATCTGAAGAAAGTCCAGCTAACACCTTCTCTATTTGAGGCGATGTATGGGAAGGATGATAGATATCCGGCGACGTTCCGTGTGATCTCATTTATTGGATGGAAACCGGGTCCAGATATGCCGAAGCCAGCAAAACGTGGTTCGCAGAATGTTTCGTTCAAGGTAATTGAGGATTCCAGATTCTTTCCTATAGTGCGCAACTGTTAGTAGCTTGAGGTAAAGAACACTGACGGCCTTCTTTTGCTGGCTTGGCGCCAAGTCTATGTAGCGATATGGTGCAGTAGTCAAATACACGGCGCATTCCTATGTAAAACCGATGATTTTCGTGTCTTCCAACTGTTTTGCTCTCGCTTTTTATTTCCGAGAGATTGATTCTGTATCGCAGAAATGTCTCCACTTAGCCTACCTTCTACATGGTTTCAAGTCCCTGCTTGTATCTCGCTTGGACCAATCAAGCGTTCCTTTTCTCCAGGGTAACTATTTGCTACCAAGGGTGCAACCAGTGTACGTTCATGGTTAGGCCGCGCAAGTCGCATTCAGATGCCTCTGCAATTTTTATTGGGGTTGGAACGCATGGCGCATCCAGATTAGGGATCGCTGAGCCTAGATCCCTATTATTTTTCTACATTTATTTTTTGAATTCCAATTTGCGAAATAGGTTCAACAACTTCCTTAATTTCCCCAATGTATAGTACATTCAAACTCGATGTGCGTAATTCTGGAAGTGTGCATTTTTTAGGACCTCGGCAAAATCGTTGAAGATCCGCGTTTGCTTGAGAAACTCAGCAAAAAAGAAGACGATAGTGAGAAGAAGTAGGGTGTTATACAATAAATCCGCTTTAGAAGTGTAGATATGTTTGTTTGAATTAGGTTTAATATGTTTTCAATTGTTGAGAGCTTAGGTTTGTTCAGAAAAATAGTCATAGTCATTGAAAATAAATGGTAAATCTTGCTAGACCTACAAGAAAGGATCACAAATCAAAAGAATAAAGAGACACAGGCAAATTAGGGTGAATGAAGGGGTATCACTGAATTATCGCTTGAGAGATCTCAGCAGAGCTAATGACACACTTGTGCCCTGAATTTGTGGGTAAAAGCTTCGATTTCTTCAAAAAGTATAAATCTGCTTTCC